TGTGGATTATTGTGATGTTTTTATCAGCTGTTTGGACTCTCATTCTGACGGCACCCATTCACTGCAGAGCATCCATTGCTGAGACACTGATGCAATGCTACATTTCTACAAATCTGCTCTGATGAAGAAACAAACTCATCCTAATCTCGGATGACCTGAGGGTGAGCACATTTACAGCTCATTTTTGGCTGAACTATTCCTTTGAATCAGAGCTGTCAATCACACTGGACCTCGATCGTGAAACAAGAAGCATAAGTAACTGAGTTAACAAACAATAACTATTCCTAAACTGACGCAACAATTTATCAATAGTCATCATTGGTTGCCTGGTAACGGTTTGCAAATGTAACAATGTAGCATCAGTCGCATTCGTGGTAACAGAAGGTGAACGAACACAAAGACGGAGGAGGAGAGAATCTCGGAGACTCTTCACAGTGCGGCTCAGACGGTGTTGCCGTGGCAACAGTGCGGGTGTTGGCGGGAAAGTACGGTCAGATCTATCGGATGACGCGGCGCCTCTTCCCTCTGGCGGGCCGCGCGGATCTGGACAGCACTATCTGCATCACAACACATCAAACACGAGTTAATGCGGCTCAGAGCACGAGGCGTGTGTGTCGTACATGTGTGTTTGCCTCACCGTCGGCTCCTCGATGATGCTGTCGATGCCAGCTCTCTGCAGCCTGACGGGAAGAAGAAGAAGAAGAAGAGAGTAAAACACAAAGCACTTCAACCTGTTGAGTTCTGAACAGCTGCACTTACGACTGTTTCCTCTTGTGCCCCCTTCTGGCTCCTGTGTGCACATCTTCAGCCTGAGCGGAGACGGAGAAAGAACAAGGGATATGAACTAGTACACTGCTCAGTGTGCAGTATGCAGTGTGCATAATAAACACTTCAGACAGTAGTATGCTGTTATTGTCATCACATGACCTTATTCATCTAGAAAGTATTATTTTATTATTATGCTATTTATTATTAAATAATAATAATAATAATCTTACATTATTTTGAAACATAACACAATTAGTAATACTTAAACTTAAAGAAAAGCAATTTAAAGCTAAATAGAAATATATAAATAAATATCACAAGCACAACAAAACTACCAAAACACATACTGGAAAAAAAAAAACGTAATGGTAAATAGAATTTTTTTAAAAACATATATATTACCAAAACTTAAAGTGAAAAGAAAGCAACTTAAAGCTGAATAGAAATAGTAAAGAAAACTAAAAATGACAAAAGCACATAGCTAAATAGAAATATTTTTTAAGAAACGAATAAAAATGACAGAAGCACACAACAAAATTACAAAAAATTAAACTGAAAAAAGCAACTTACAGCTAAATATAAATATTTAAAAAATTTAAAAAAAATATGAAAAGCATAACAAAATCACCAAAACTTAAATTGAAATAAAAAAAAATGTGCTAAATAGAAATATAAAAAAATGAATATAAAGCACAACAAAATTACTAAAACTAAAAATGATAATTTCAGACAGTAGTATGCTATTATTGTTGCCACATGAACTTATTAATCTAGAAAATATTTTATTATTATACTATTTATTATTATATAATAATCTTTGAAAAATCTTTTAAAGATTAGTTTTTTAAAAAAATTTAATTTAAGAATCTAATTTTATCTAATAATTTACTCTAATAACTAATTTTATCTTGTGGTTCTATTGGCAATTTATGTTTAATTATAATTATTTATGTTTACTCTTTTATTATTATACTATTTATTATTATATAATAACAATCTTTGAAAAATCTTTTAAAGATTAGTTTTTTAAAAAATTTAAATTTAAGAATCTAATTTTATCTAATAATTTACTCTAATAACTCATTTTATCTTGTGGTTCTATTGGCAATTTATGTTTAATTATAATTATTTATCTTTACTCTTTGTTTTAACAATGGTTTTGTAAGTTACAAATATCAATTTAATTTTTAGTTTTATTCATTATTGTAAATGAATAAAACCTGAATCAACAGAATATTTCTAAAGTTATTTATATTTATTTTAAAATAAGCAAGACCACTGAATTTAAGACTGGTAAAACTAAATCTACTAAATTTAACTAGGCTCTTAAAATAAAATAAATAATAATAAAAATGACAAAAGCACGTAACAAAATGACTAAAACTGAAACAGAAATAACTTGAAGCCAAACAGAAAACTAATAGAAATGATAAAAGCACATAACAAAATTATTAAAACTTAAACTGAATGAAAAGTAACTTAAAACAAAATAGAGAAATAAAAATAAATATATATAAAAATACAAATAAAAGCTTAATGGTAAACAGAAATATGTAAAAACACTAATAAACATTTCAAGCGCACATAACAATATCACCAAAACTTAAGAGTGAAATAAAACATAACTTAAAGCTAAATAGAAATATTTAAAATAATAATAATAAAAATTAAAGCACAACAAAATTACTAAAACTTAAATGGAAATACAAATATTTTAAAGCTAAACAGAAATATTAAAAGACTAACCATAACCTTAACTAAAACATAAACTGAAATAAAAAAAAATTCAAAGCTAAATAGAAAAGTGAAAATAAAAATGACAAAAGCACATAAGACTAAAACTTAAGCTGAAAGAAAAGCAACTTAAATCTAAATAGAAATATTTAAAAAGAAAACTACTAAAAATGACAAAAGCGCATAAAATGACAAACTTAAAATTTGAATAAAAATAATTCAAAGCTAAATAGAAATATAAAAAAGACAAAAAGCATGACAACTACTAAAACTTAAAAACAACCAAGCTAAATAGAAACATTAATAAAATAAAAATGACAAGCACAGAACAAAATGACAAAAAAGTTAAACTGAAATAAAAAACAGCTAAATAGAAATATTTAAAAGACTAATAAAACTCATTGCAAAATTACTAAAAATTAAATGTAAATAAAAGTAACACAGCTAAACAGAAAAAAATGTAAGAAATTGAAATAAAAACTTTTATTAAGAAAAAAATTCTACTTTATTTATCTTCTTTTATTTAAAAAAAAAAACTAGCAGCTTTCTATTTTTTCTATTCTATTTACTTGTTTTTCTTTGTGTGTGTGTGTGTGTGTGTGTATAATATATATATATATACACACCTTGCTACGTGTTCTGCGTTAGGCTAACCGAGACTTTTGCACTTATATATCGTTGCTCTTTTGTTAGTTTTGATTGCTTCTATTGTCCTCATTTGTAAGTCGCTTTGGATAAAAGCATCTGCTAAATGACTAAATATAAATGTAATTCAAAATGAGAATAAATACTATAATAGCTGTGATAGGTGCACTCACCCTGACTTGCTCTGCGTCTCGGACGTCCTCGACTGCTTCTCTGAGCCGCTCACCCGAACTCAAATATCCCTGCGGCCTTCGTCCATCCTCCTCTTCATCGTCTCCTCGTGCATCCGCTCCCAAGCCGATCCCGTTGCTGTAGAGGCACAGGTCGGTCTTGGCCTCCTCCATGAAGGCGGGGTGCAGCGGCGCGTCGGCTCCCGCAGGTTTGCAGGGCGGCGGCGGGTCCTCGCTGAGTTTGGGCGTCCCGCGGGCCGGGGACTGGGCCGTGTCCATGCCGAGTCGGGAAAGGTCCGGGTTGTGGACGGAACAGGCGCGGCGCGGGCTGAGAGACGGAGGCAGCTCGGGGTACGAGTCGCGCTCGCTCACCTGCAGGAAGGAGGTGTAGATGGTGTCCATGAAGGAGGCGTACGGGTCAAACGTCTCTCTCTGCTGCAGCGGCGTCTGGACCGGGTTGAGCAGGGAATTCTGGGATATCGAAGCCGAGGGAAGCTGATCTTGTGACGGACGCGTCTCGG